GACGTGTGCTCTTCCGATCTAGAGACATGAGCCTATGTTATAAAAGAGATATTTTACTGTAACTTTTTCATTGTTTCTTTAATCATAAATACATAAACGGAACGCAGTGCCAACTTGCATCTTGTGCCAACGAGCCCCGATCTCCCTTATGTGTGTATTTTACTTCTTTAAATATTTTTTGTATTACTCAAAATTATAAAGAATTTTATTCCGAATTTGGTCGCGAATTATAGATTGTCTAAAGTGGACTTTAGACAATAACATTAAATTTAAATTTTTTCTCAACTTGTTTTTTATTTTTCCAAAAAATTTGCTTTTTTTAGTGAATATGCAAATATTTATTATAGTTCATATTTCGGTTCATACCTGTAAGCGCATATTATTCATTCCATAATGAGATTGCTGTTAGAGTAAAAGTAAATTGAAACGTTGATACATCTTTGTGCGCAAATTTCGAATAATACAAATACAAATTACTTTTCGTTAAGATTACGGTTAGATTATAATGGGAAAAGTGGAAACACATTTTCTATTTAATCAAACACTGCAATCTTAATTGAAATGAAATATGTAGATATATATTTTTTCAGCCTTAAATTGCGTAAGTTTCTTACCTTCTAATCAGATGAAGTTCAATATAAATTTACAGAGACCAACGTCTTATAATTATTTTATTTAAAACAAATAAGTAATCGAACAAGTGTTTTAAATCAAATAAAATCATTATAATCACTAAAAATCTGATAATTACATATGCAATCATAAGAAATCATTGTGTAATCAGATGAAATTATTTAATTTACTAAATGATTTCATATGTAAATAATAAAAAAATTTATGTGTAATCTGATGAAATCATTATTTGTAATCAGCTGAAATTATTTGTAATCATTTGTAATCAGATGAAATCGTATGAAATCGTATGAAATCTAATGAACTCATGTAATCTATGGGACAACATTTTATGTAGTGGTTACCCCCTCGGAATAAGCCTCGACAAATGTGAATCTGTGTGCAAATGCCAGCAATTCGAAAATTTTCGCAGTGCGAATTCGCACTCTTGTATTTGAAGGTTAAATCATAAATTAACAGTCTTAATTCTGTAAGGGTAGATACCGAGTTATTGGATCCATCATATTTTAATTTATTATCAAAAATATCAAAATACATTAAGTAACATCTTATCGGTCTTGTATGTATCGGTATGTTTTTATGGAATTTATAAACAATTATTATAATGATATCGCGTATGTATCTTCGTTACTCATTCGTCTATTGTATACGACATATAGCGACTAGTATGAATTTATTCTCCTTTGTCCATACACGAGAAACTTGTGGATTTTTTACATTTGACATAGTAAGTTTTTAACATTTCTTTATATACATTATTTATTTTAAATTTTAATTACGGTAATTTTTAATCTATAGTTGACGATATAGTAACTTGGTTATTTGACAAATTTTCACAAGACTTCCAACGGAATTTCCACTCTGTTGAGACGTTTTATAATGTGGACAAAGAGACTGCTCAGAAATTTCGACGACCATTATGATTAATTACATTGACTCTTAAATTGCTATTTCTTAACGCTGATTACTTTATGTATATTTACTATTCGACTCTCGTTTTTCTACACTAATAATTTATTGTTATATATCGACTATAAGACTCATGTATTTTTCGCTAATTATTTAATTTTTTGCGGTTGAAGAAGACTAAGTAAAGCCAAAACATGCACCGCGCCTATTTGTTTTGAATAAATTTTATATTTTATATTTTATATTTAAGCGTTACCTTATTAGTGCTCGTTAGTTTGGCCTATTTTATAATTTGATTGTTATTAAATAAACGTTACCAAAATGTATATTGAAATCACTTTCTCAAATAAAAAATTAATGAAGAATAAATATTAAATATGTATTAAATAAACATTAAACAAGTGTTTACTGAAATTATTTTTACAAATAAATAATTAATGACAAATAAATATTTTTAAAATATTAAATAAATATTAAAAGAATGTATACTGAATGTCATTGTCTCAATTAATGTAAAATTAATGACAAATAAATATCTACAAAATATTAAATAAACGTTAAAAAAATGTTTACTGAAATCATTTTGTCACGTGAATAATTCATGAAAAATAAATACTTAAAAATAAAGGTTTCAAAAAACGTTTTTCAGAAATAATTATTTTAAATGAATATTTAATGAAAAAGAAATATTAAATAAATTTTAAATAAATATTTTTTCCAAAATGAGTTCAGAAAGTGCATAATTAATGAAAAAATTGTTCAAAAACATTTAAAAAACGTCTGCTAATTGAGTAGCAATTATTTAGATATTTTATAGAAATCTCGAATCTTTAATCAGATCAGTTTCAAACATTTTCCTGGTCTGCTTGGCGCTGCAATCCTTCGGAGACTATTTGAACTAAGTTGTAGCATTCCAAAGTAACGTAATTACCGACAAGATTCGCTTTTTACCTAGAATGATTTGTACAACATTTGTGTAGCGTGATACGTACGTAGCATCAGTTTCTAAAATTCAGTTTGTGTTTTTATGAAGGTAAGCTAGTATTAAGTTTATTACATTTCACTCTGAACATTCAAAATTAATTGACTATATAATCAAAACTTTAATACCATTAATGCTATTAAATTGTACTTATAGAGCGTTTGAACAGCTACTATTAAAGCTGCAACATAACCTTGATTATATTGTGATAAAGGTGGAGCAAAGTGATGGAGCACAGTGGAATAAATATCGTTGTGTTTTAATCACTGTTTTTTTTTACAATTTATTATATTTCTGTAATATTACAGGATTTATTTTTAAGTGTTTCAATATATAGTTTTCATATTTCAATTCATAGTTTTTATATTTATTTTTTACAGTTTTTTATTTTTTATATTTTATTTTATATATATTTTAGTTATTTAGTTATTTTATTAGTCTGCATTTATTAGTTATTTAGTTTCTTTATAGCTTCCCATGTTCTAGCTATATCGCGACATAATAATAATTCTGTGAATTAAATTTATGTCCCGACATATAAATAATAATTCTCATTTCTTACTATACTTATCTCTAACACAATAATATAATGTGTAATATTATAGTGTGAATTAAAATTATGTCTAAATTAAATTAAGTGAAAAAAATTTCTATTGTGTCTCGACATAATTTTAATCCGTCGAATTATTATTATGTCCAGACATATAATTTTAATTCTATAATAAGAATTGTAATATTTTTTAAGAATTTTACATTAATTTAATTTTACATTAGGCGAAATTTCTGTTATTAAAAAGTAAAATGGCTTGCCACAGATTTGTGAGTTTGATTTTGTTTTACCTTTCTAGATAGATTGAAATTATAAGCGGAAAAGTAAACAACAAAAATATTATAGAATCAAGAATTTATACTGTAGACTGTTGATGTTGTTATTTATTTTAAAACTTTCGTTTTTATACCCTAAGTTTGTTTAAAAATTAAATTCTCCTTATTTAAACATTGAACCCTTACTCCACTGTATCCCACATGTGGGGCAAAGAGAAGAGATTCGCATTCTTTACTTAAAACTCTGTCACGTTTTGAATTTTTAAATATTTAAAGAAATATTATTACATACATATAAACATATTATTCTTATCATTACATGTTATGGTTTTGTAGAAGAAAAGATTTTTTTCAATGCAATTCATTACTTTGCTTTATTAATTTAAAAGTTAAATATCTCGCTCTGCGAGATCCCCACTTTTTCCAAGTTGCCATATGTGTGCGTATGAAAATCACGTATGTGATTCGAGTGATCAATAGATTACCACATATTTTTACTCACAATAAGTTTAATTGTAAAATAAAAAATAAATGGTTTAAGAAAGGATAATGAATAAACGTAATTTTTCAATAAATGCAATGCACGTGTATGCGAAAATGTAGCAAGCAATTATTAACTGCGTTACACATTTGATATTGTTGCGCCCGTCTCTGGCGCGGCTTGCTCTCGCTATGTCGGGCTCTAGCCGCGCCGATCGTTATCGATTGTCTGAAGGAGCAACAGAAGAAGAGCTATTTCTAACAACGAAGTTGTTTGGCGGCCTGTCTAGCTTCGAACGAAGATTTGAGGGCGCATACTGATAGCTTGTAACAAGTTGCAATAAATAGTTCTTCCGTTCTTGTTCGATCAAAAGAGTGTTCCTTCATTTTCCCGCGAATGCGTTACGCAAGTATACGGTTTCCCGCGTCGCGATTGTAACGCGCGAGTATCCGAGTGCGCGTTTGTGTTCTCTTCGCGCGCGCAACAATATTAATTATCAATTGTTAAAGCGTTATTTCACTTGATTTTCTCAAGAGAAGAACAATGTGCGTGTATTAATCGAGAAACATACAATTATATTGATGTAAAGACTATAAAGTTCACATAAACTTTCTTTTCTTAAATATCATATATGAATTTCAAATCTCGAAAAATAACTCGATAATAAAAAATTTTTGTGAATAACTTCACTATATTCTTGCCGTTAAAAAATATTATTAAAATTTAAAAGAGAAACATTATAGACGACGACGAATAATGCACGAATTAATTTTGAAAATCGTACGTTCTTAGAATCTAATGAATTTCTTACATTCTTCTAGAATCTATTACTTGTTCAACATATATGTTACATATTAGACCAGTCATATACACATCATGCGCTCATGAGCTAAAAGCTTATCTTATTATCGCTCTGTTATCTCGAGTTATCTAGGTTAGTATTTATTGCTTTATCGAAAGATAAATTGTGAATTTAATGTTGATCAAGTCTCAGTTACTAAAGGATTGGAATATTGGCCGAATTAGAAAATCCGACGGTATGAATAGTAAATTAAGCAGATCATTAGGTGTCGTGTTCGTGATAATTGTCATTTATTAATAGTGCCAAATAAAATCATACGTAAATCTATAATTTTATTCATAGTTGATTTTACGAAACTACGCGATGTATTTAATTAGTTTAATTTAAATGAATTAAACGAATGTATTAAAGTTCAATTTAAATAAATTAACGACAAGTAAAGAACAATTAGCATACAACTTACAGGATAATGTGTCGATTATTATTATACAATACTTTGTTCTTTTGATACTGATATTCACAGTCGGAGTTTATTGAGAAAAATTTTAAATAAAGATCTGACATACATTGTAACATTGATTAATCATTTGAGTATCATATTTTATAAGTTTTAAATGTTACGCGGTTAGCGATATTTTTTGCGAGGCTTTGACTTGAGACCAATTATCGATGCCTTCAGTAATTAAACAATTATACACTGTTCATGTCAGGAAGAATATACAAAATTGAAAATAACAATGAAACAAACAACAATCAAGAAGATTTATATATTTTTTATAACGTGACGTGACGGGACGACTATTATATATTAACATTGAAAGTTGAAAACCACAGAAAAATACACATAGAAAGAACAATTTTGCTGAATCTATATCTAAAAATAATTTTTGTTCAATAATCAAAATAATTTTGTGCGAAAGTCAAAATGATTGCTAAAATATTAAAACGTTTTATAGCAATGCTTATCAGTTTTAACATTCCAACAAATTATTTTAATGATTTAACAAAAAATTATTTTCAGATCTGTATTTAGTAAAATTTTTGGATTTTTTTAACAAAATCATTTTTTCTGTGCAGTATTTAAAGTATAAATAAAAAGAAAATGAAATGCACATAACAAAATTTAAAATATAGATATATATAATGTATATGTATAATCATATGTTACTCTTGATCTATGCAAAATATGATTTCACAATTGCATAATTATTACGTATAAGTAAATATAAGTAAATCGACTGTAACTGCATTTTATATATTGTGTTATTTTCATCTTTATAATACCATTGACTTTAATATTTTAGAAGCATTATAGATGTAGAAATACTATAATTAAGAAGGATATTAAGAAGAAGAGATATTATTATCAAATATACGTACATACATATATCAATACATATTTATCGAATATAAAACTTTTTATATAAAATGTATTCTACTATCATCTATTTTATCAAAGTAATCTTTAGTCAATTTTAACTAATAATATCATATTATATAACTCAATCGTTGCAACTGAGATGTAAATCGCAATTTAATTAAGATAAAGTTTTGTAATTTATTTACATATTTGACACTTGATTTATTAATTTATATACATTTAATTTGTTATTTTATAAAATTTTTTAAGTATAATTTATATCTTTTGCTTTAAATTAATTATTTATGAACTATTAAAATTATTAGAGAGAACTATTATGGAACTATTAAAACATGTGTTAACGTGTAAAGCAATATATTGTACTCGTCTTAAGGTTAGAGTCGAGATTGAGAGAAATTAAATGAAGCATTAAATATAAAATTTTCCTTTTTTCATATATATTGGCTTGATTGTGTCCAGATCGTGAGAAACTTCATCATAACAATTACGACTTAAATATAGACAAAAGATACATGCATTCGAGGAGCGCGCTATCAGCACTATTATGTCATTTTATCTTTATCATTAATTAGACGTAAAACAAAGATGAAATGATAGCACGCTTCCCAAATGCAACCAGTATATTATTTAAAATACTAACAGAGCATTTAATATTTAAATATTCAAAATAAGTAATTAATCACTAACCAATTTAATTTACAAAAAGTTTCCCTAAAAGAGTCATTAGATATCTGTCTGTTAGATATTTAAGTATTCAACGCGCATGTAAGTAAGCATATAAGCAATATATACGAATGTTAAGACAGTAGAGGGGAGAGCGCTAGGTAGGAAGAATTTCGAGACGGACACACACGTTCCTGTAACGAACAAGCAGTGAAATTAGAAACGGCATTGTATGTATAAAGACGGCTCGCAATATCGTGAGAAGCGATTATAATAAATACGATAAAATAACTCACAAGTGCTAAATCAAGTTATTCGTACATCGGCACATCTCTCTTAATTCTTCGAGAGATATTGCATATTCATACACTGTCTAATGGCAGACGGATTTGATTCTAGGAAAACCGCGGAAAATATTTCAGAGAAAATGCATTATAGTGACATTTGGCCGATTTCGACCATAATTATATACGCGATCATGACGCGCTACAGACGTGTTATAAATTTTTCGCAAGTACCACAACTTGATCTCGTTTGACGGAGTGTACATATGCCGTTGACCTACGTATTATATTAATTGTAAGAGGGAAAAAATAAAAGCGGATTCCTATTCCAATCTTAATTGAAACATCAATCTTAAACGGAGAAAAATGCGTACGTCTTGAATAACAATGGACATAAAAAAAAAGTGACAGAAAAGTAATCGAAAAGAAGCAGCGGGTGAAGAATGACAAGAAAATGGCAATAAAAAATGAGGGTTTGGCTAAAAAAGAGAAAAGAAACGTGATAAATCTCGACGCGAACAAACATGTTTTTATAATTATATAATATAAAGAATCGCTTCCATGTTTTATGATGCGGAGAGTAGAACAATGATTTAATTATCGAGGAAATATTTACATTCCAATTCTAATTTCAGAAATGGCCCTAGAGACACCATGGCTGAATTTAAACTTCGTTGAAAAGATTCTGCAAAAGTCGGAAAGTGACAATACAATTCAGATGATCGATATATTCTCAAAACCGGCCACGAGCAAGGGTGACAATTACACCAGCGATATGATAAGGATTACTGCCGAATTTTCGCGTGACCTGAGTGGTCGTAAGATTATAGAGAAGAAATCAATCATCGTCAAAATCTCGCCTACACTCGAAAATATTATTCGATACAAACTTGTAAGTTGGTTTAATTTATACAATGTTTTTGACAGAGGAGAGGGATGAGGGAGAGAGTGAGAGACATTAAGAGAGAATGATCGAGGAGAGAGTTTAAATTGTACCCCGATAGGAATATTGTGAAAACATTGCACAAAGGCATCATAATATAACAAACATTTCGTAATAATTGCGCCAAGATGATTCGTTATAATGCAATAATTTTTGTCAAAATAAAATTTGTAAATAATATATGTCAAAAATTAGACAAATCTAATTTGAAATTAAACATGTTACATTTCAATATTTATATTACGGACATAAAATCTTTAATATTTGTCACAATATAATACAATAATATTTGTAGTATTCTCAGACATAATATTCTTAAATACTTTAATTATCGCACGCACACATCGTAATAAATTTTCAAGAACATACAGCTTTTTTATTAGGCACTAAGCCTAATTTTATAAACTCAACATTGTTTGCACATGTAATTCGTAGTTCCGGCTGGTATCATTAATTTGTACCAACAAACTGCCAAAATTTTGTACGAAGCAATTGGCACATGTGACAGCTCTAGACGCTATATTGGATTAAGAAAAGGTAACGGATATCTAAATTTCATACATCTTTTGCGTTCTCAGCATAACCTCTACCAGCCGGAACTACATTGATGCCTATATTTCCCGTAACAACCAAAAAATCTTCTGCTCATTTATTGGCTTAAATCAACCTACTTATTTGATCAATACAAGCGATAATCTCTATTAAGGCGATGCTGAAAGATCGAAAAAATTTGCACGACGTCGATAAAACAGTCTGTTCAATGATACCTCTAAATAAACTTCTTACAATATCTTCTGTCTCAATCAAACACGTACATTGTTCTTATCTAACTTATTAAAACGCCATCTCTTGCATAATCCGGCACTTATACTACTAGACGCAGTTTTTGCTGTTTTTACCATTCCGTATTTTGGCTATATATACGAATTACCACAAATTGCAGTTTAGTGGATATCTTTTTTCTACGCTTTCAATCTCAAAAGGCTTTGTATTATTTGTTTATGTAATCTGTGGTGTTAGACGTAAGTATTTTGTATATACATATGAGGTACAGAATTTTGACACTAATGAAATGTTTATATCAGGTTATGTATAGGTAGTTTGGTGTCAGCTATACGACTCAAAAACATGTAATTTTTTAATTTTTCCGATTTTATTACAAATTCGATCGTCTAACACCACAATTTCATGTCTATTTCAACCCTGTGAAAGGATTTTCAATTCCGTTCAGCCAATTCGGAGAAATTACTGAATTGCAATGTGTCGGTATTTCCGATCTTCCAGCATCGCCTTAAGGCGATGCTGGAAGGTAGAAATTACCGACACATTACAGTTTAGTAAATTTTTCCGAATTGATTGAACGGAATTGAAAATCCTTTCAGATGATTAAAATAGATATAAAATTGTGATCTGAGACGGATGAATTTGTATTAAAATCGAAAAAAATTTTAAAAACAGCAATCGCCTGACGTAAACATTTTATTAGTGTAAAAGTTGTAAAG